CAACACAGAGAAGAGTTGAATACATACAGGGCATATAGGCTGGCAGAAATAATTCCACTGTGATCAGCCTCAGTGGAAGAAATTGTCAGTCAAGATCTAGACATGTTTTTCTGGAAATGTGCAAAACAAGTGAACAAAAAGCATACAACACTCCCAATAACAATACTGATGATTCATTTTTATATATTGACTGTATGATGATGACCATCTGCAGACTGTCAGCAAGTGTCCTATGCAGACGGCAGGAAGGTAGGTATGGATGGGAACACAGCATGACGCAAGCTGCAGCCATCCCCGTGGCTAGGGTCAGTGCAGATATACTCCTAGTGTCTCCTGTGCCACTGTCTCTTCAGAGTGCTTATAAAAGTATATGCATTTTTGACTCTATAACTCAAAAACGGTAAACTTTAAGTGTAGAATTAATCAGGGTGTTTAAATACAAGTCCAGCATCCTACAGAATTAGCTATTTAATCCTTACATCTTTAGAGTAAAGAAAAGACTGAAGCCAAACCAACTAGTATAACAGATACCGAAAGAATTAACCATGCGATATAACCAGAATCAAAACTTAAGCTGGACTGCTATTTGCAGAATATCCTGTCACAATTGTGCTGTCTGTGCCCCCAGAGGCAGGTAAAGATACTGATCTGAAATACTGTAAAAAACCCACCAAAACTTCCATATTCAAGCCCAGCAAAGTAGCGACAACGATTATAAAGAATTAATAGGTAGGTTAGCTGCAATCTATAATTGGATATGACAAGTTTCTACCTCAAAACCCAAATTCTGAACTAGTGGGTAAAGAGATTGGTTATATTTTCATTTGCCACCCACAGATCAGAGTAACTCCTGTGGAATTCCATGGGCTTCAGCATGCGAAATGTTTCTAACCTTGTGCAATGTTTCAAATTCTTACACATTATCATAATTAGAGGGCAAACAATTTAATCTGGGAATATAAATTAACACTCTATTATTTATCTGCAAGCGTTTCATGGCTCCCTGTGCTAGGTGCTTTACAAAAGGATAGAAAAGCATACAAGCCAAGAGAAACACTACAGACAAAAGAGAAATTTTATCTTTTTACACACAATATCGGAGACGTGGCATGCAGATTTGATAGCATTCAAAATTCTTTGCCCTTACCACTATTTTGCTACACACATTCAAGGTCTTTACAGGAAGTAATGCATTTTTGATATTACATTTTTTTTTCCACAATGACAGATAACACATTTGATATTTTAAATGTTTAGATTATCCAGAAAAAATACTAGCTAGGTAGTTCAGTACCAGGCACTTTAAAATATGAGGTTCTATGGCTTAAAATGTGTGCTTTCCCTTGGCATCAAAGATTGCAGAAATAGTTTTTACCTTAGCATCATCACTGAATGCCCTAATGCCCTTTCCCATCATTATTCAGAGCGTGTGTTATACCGCTTGATGATCATCCAAAATTCCATAGCTAGCTTTATTTGAATGATGCTAATGTGCATGCTGGTTTAATGCAACCTTTAGCCATCCTTTGGAGCAAAGGACAGTATGAAAATGAGAGGTCATCTTTTTAGGAATACTGTAGCTGTCAACAGAAAAGGAAAATATTTTACACAAAACCTGAAAATTCATGGATTTTTCTAAATCTCATTTAAGAAGTTACATATTTCACTTACTGCTGTTGCTCAATGAAAATAAATTCTTGTAGAATAGACTTGCCCACAAATGAGACAGTTGAACAGAAAGAGTTGTGTGCCTATGAATTACAGTTCCAGACTGCTTATACTCTGCCTTACAGCTGTGTATTCTTTCTCTGTACTTGTGTAATGCATTTGTATTGGAAGATCCTCTTAAATCTGGATGATCTATTGGTTTAGGGAGCTACAGATTAATTCCAGATGTGGTCATGGTCTTCTAGCCCTTCAAAAAGCAACTACCGCACCATCTGTTTTGTAATAGGCAATTTCAAAGAGTGCCAAGGGGAATGTTAAAGACATTGGTCAAACGGCCACATATACCTCACACACAGGAATCCTAGAGGTCATAGTGCCTCAGACAGATTCATGTTTTGACTTTTTTCTCTCCACTGTTGCACCACAGAAACTCAAGGAACAGCTCTCCTTCCTCCCAAAATAGGAAGGAGATGCTTCCCAGATTATTAGCAGCATTGACATGTATGAGGCCAAATTCAGACCTGAATTCAGTGGAATGACTGGAATTCATGGTGACATATCTCTTACACCTGCCCCTCTTTCAGTTCTTTGTAGATTATCCCAAACAGCTTTGTGGATTTTTTTTTTTAAATGAACTCAGTACCAGGAGGCTAAAGCTAAACTGACTTCAGATCTGGCTGGTTGCCCAAGACAAATGAAGGGCGCAACAGGTAATGAATGGTTATTCCAGATCATGATTGTTTTTATTTTTCCTGGTTATTTCAGCAAGCTTGAAGTAAAGGAACTGTGTCTGTTCTTCTAAGTACAGCATTATGCATCAATATCTACATCTCGGGTGTATAACAAAGATGCATTCAGGTCTAGCACCAACATAGCTTAAAATCCTCACAACAGTAGAACTGGAGTAAAAGAAGTTCTCTGAAGACTTCCTAAGTATAAAATTGAACTTTAGAGCAGTAACCCATGATTTATATGAAATAGTCCTGAGAAAAGGTATAAAATGAAAACAAAAGGAAACAGAAAATCTACTAGAGGTTAGACAATCACAATCTTGTGCAGTTCCAGAGAGTCATTTTTGCTGCAGTGACATTAAGTAAATCATTGGTAAGCAGAAGTAAAGATTAACAGTATGTTTCCAGTTCATTCCTCTTTGTTTTTTCCAGTGCATCCAGTCATGTTTTATACCAATTCTTGTAATAAATTATTATAAAAATAGCTTAGGATTAGCAGACTAGTGTACCTACTTAAGTTACATTGACTTTGCTGTGATTCTCTCCATTCAGCAGAACACTGCAGCATGAGTGCCTTAGACTGTAAGCTAAGTGTCTGGGTATACTCCAGGTAGATCTTCAAAGTTTGCTGCTGGTAAGTAAGAAATAAATTAATAGGAATAACAGCTCCCTCAGCATTTGCCTCTCCTTAGTATTATTAGAGTTGAATTTCTCTTAAGCCATGGTCTACTTGGGTGGTGTAAGGGAATTCCACACAGTAAGATTTGCACATTTTCAGTATTAAACATTATTAAAACAAAGAAAGGTTGGACATTGGAACAGGAAATGTCTGCTTTGGGGGGCTCCATCACACCTTTTAAAATTGAAGACATCCAAAAGAAATACATTCTCAGAAGCTAACACACATATTGGTGTGGGAGCATGCATACACACACACCTGTTAGCTAAAGCAAAGGGCACATGACTTAGGACAAGATTTAATTCAAAATATTAGACTCCAGAAATAACACTTTGAACTAGACAGTATACATTGCAGTTACTCACAACTACACTCCAAACCAAAGGCTGCAAGAAGAAAATAAGTGCCTGAAAGAAGGATCCAAAACTTTAAGGGAAAGTCACGTGGAGTTAGCCTACAGAAATGCCAGAGAAGAGAAATCCCAGTCTTTACAGAGCTAACATATCCTCTCCAGAGCTATAGAAACATCTCCTTATTTCATCTTACATAGGTATCTGTACTCCAAAAAAAACCCACAAAGCAAGCAAACAAACAAAAAAAGCACAATCTGAACAAAACTCACTCTTGCAAACCAAGCGGTGTAGTAGTCACACCTCTTGCTGAGGCTGATGTTCCCGGAAGAAAAGACCACCAGAATGAAGAGCTATTTAGGGAGAGGTTTGGTTTAGGCATTCATATTATACCTCAGCTTAATTCCTGCTTTTATTTAAGAACTTTTAACATCTTTTTATCTGTTCTAGAACATAGTTAATAGATTATCAGAGTCACAAATCCTACGCTATTCCTGTGCTTTCTAGGCACAAATTCTGCCTTTAACTAAGTCATGCAACACAGACCTGAAGACTGACCCATCCTTTGAAAAATACTCAAGTATTGACTTAGGAGAGTTACCAGTTGGAGCTCAAATAAATAAAATAAAGATAATCACTACCACTAACCCCTCTCCCCTTATTCCATGGTGGACTTAACTCTAAATTCAACCCTACATGTAGCGACAAATCTTTCAAAGCTCACTATTTTCCAGGACAAGAGGATAATTTGCTCCAGCTGAGCCCAGCACTCACCCACTTCACTCCAAGGACAGGCATCTGTGGCTCATCTTTTGCACAGGGAAAGAACGTACCAGCCCCTTGCTAGCTACTGGCTGCGTCATACACACCTTGTCAAAGTGATCTACTTCATTTAAGATGTACAGATCCAAAATTACACAGCCCAGAAAATAAAGAAAGCAATCATTTTATTCACTTGACACATGCCATCTTGAGTTCAATTTGTTACAGTAGTTAATAATTCACCAAAAAAGAATAGAGTTTTAAAAAATAACTTCTTTGTTCCTTGCAGCAGAGGATTAAGACATGGTGCGCTGGGCAACTGGTATAAGACAAACGCTCCACAGAAGTAATTGTATTTCTATTGCACATTTTTTGGAAAACTTTATCACTTTCATTGTCTTTGTACCTCAGAGGCAAGAATTATTACATAGAAAGGTCTGCTTCCTTTCTCAGCCATCTTTTGAAATGACTGGATAGTAGTTCGTTACTTGTGGGCATTTGTTTTTTTTTGCTGACAGCGCTGCATCCAGTTAGGACGGATATTTTCCACCTGACCACCCGCCCAAATCACAACTACCGACCACAAACTCTGCGTCGCCGATACGGCCCGCGGAGTTCACCTGGCAGAAGGAGCTCCTCCTTGGCTGGCGGCCGGCCTGCGGCAGCTTCCCCAGCGCCCCCCCGCCATGCTGTCTTTCCACCCCGGCAATCGATGAGGGCGTACGGCTGCCCACGGGGAGATGGACGCTGTGGCAGTGTCCGCGTGGAAAGAGGGCCTACCTACCCCAGAAATCCCGCACCGGCGTTTCGATGGAGCTCTGGCTTCCACACGTTATGTGCACCTACCGCGAGCACGTGCAGCGGATGTATAACGCGTGCCAGGCAGCGGACGTGTAACGTCTGCGCTCCCCACACGCTCTGGGGACGGAGCCCATGTGGAAACCTGGCTCTCAAGCCGCCGCCCCCAAAACCACAGGCTTAATAAACCCCAATATTAATACACTGGGGTGATATATTAATATACTCCACAACCTAAGAAAAATAGTCTGCCAAGTCGTATTAGTTCACTGGTATGTTTAAAGTTGCTAATTGTAAAGAAAAAATACCCAACTTGTATCATTTAGTCCTTAAACTTCATTTCTGGTTTTCAAGTCAATTTCCTATACATAGATTTCGTTGGAATGGAAAACCTCCTTGCAGCCAGCACTCATTTCTTTCAGTATTAATTGCCATACATTTGAAATCCCATGGGTAAAAGCACTGTGAAAATTAATTTGTGACTTTGAAATACAGTAGGCTTAATCCTATTCTAATAACAATGACATACTGCTTCACTATCTGATGGAGGAAGGAAAAAGATAGTGTGTTAGAAATTATGTCACCAAGTGTCTGTAGGTGTCTTTCCAGACTCTTTAATTTGTTTATACTATATTTCTACTCTTTAAAAAAACCTTCATCTTATGTCTCTAATGTCACAGTCCTGTGTAGTTAGAAAAACGGCGTAAATATTAACTAATGACAAATAAATAAATGAACTTCAAGATATTCCATTGATTAAAAAAAAATCCTAAGTGTTCCAGGAATTAATTTTTCAGATTTCCTATAGGATTTTCATTAAATGCCTTCTATCTTTAAACTCTGTCTGTTTCTGTGCAACTTCTTAATAAGTCTTTTAGCTTCTGTAACAGCTCTGTTCCTCTGTTGTGTCCTGATTAAGCTCTACAAAGTCTTCAAGAACATCATCTAACATAAAGCACAATACTGCAGAAGTAAACATGTACCAAGACAGATATTTTGCATATGACTTTTAATTAATAAATGCGCGAGGAGAGGCCAGGTCCGGTGGGCCGGGACTGCGGGCGAGGGGTGCCGGGAGGCGCGTGGCAGCCCGGAGGGCCATGGCATGCGGGAAGACCGAGCCGCGCCACTGACGCAGGTCGGTCAGGCCCTGGTGCTCTTTGGGGGTGTCAGCAGAAATCCCCCCCTCGGGGAGAGGCTGAGGGAGGGTGCACAGCCTGGTCGAGAGTCAGTCTGACAGGCACAGGTGCAACGCTGTTTTGGAGCGGGGAGTTAAAAGAAAACACGCTAAGGTAGAACAGAGGTCGAGGCCCTCGGGATTTAGTGCTGAATGCACTGGAATTTCATGGACTTTGGACTTGGGTGCCCAGGTTTTCCTTCAGGCACCATCCTCCTTTATTAGATCTGCTCTCAAAGGCTATGAAAAAAGTTAACTATTCAGCAATGGCATGTGTTTCCAAGTGAGAAGCTCTAACCAAATCTTAGACCAGGGGCCTTTTTCTCACAGAGAGTTGAGACTAAGTGTGTTTTGGGGGAAGAGACAGTAGGGAACGAGCGTAGTTTACTTTGCAGCCTATTACTCGATGTCAGAAGCAGCAACATTAGTACCTTTGGTTGGTTTGCCATAGTATGTCGACCTTGTCCTTTTATGAATGATGACTTGGGGCAGTGTATTTTGCATGTGCAGGTACTGCACAGCGACCTGCTTGGAAAATGCTTCTGCTCCTAGCTTTTCTGGAAGAGCTCAACATAATTGCAGGGCATTGACCACAGACTTCTATTCACATTGCTAATGGATATTCAAGCTGCAGCTTGAGCCTACTTGGCAGTGCTCTTCAGTTCCACCCGTTTTCCTCAATGAGTGAACTTGCAAGTGATATTAATTAGAGCCCATCCTTCTTATGGGCACTTCAGTTCCGTAGTTGCCACAGTTCCTCAATGGCTTGCTTTGTTTTAGTACAGTTTCTCCCTTCAGTGTGCCTTCTGAGTCAGTGCTACTGTGTTTTGCTCAGCCTGTGCCTTGCCTACTTTTGTCTGTCTGGCTGGTAGGAAATAAGATGGTTTTTACTTGTACCCTTTTGGCGTGCCTACTTGTTTCTAGGCAATACAGCTCTCCACTGTCTGTGCCAGATTTTGTAGTCTCAAACAGTAACAGTTATCCCACCTGCACCTTCCAAAGTAAAACGTTGGCATTCTTTTTCTGGTGTCTTAGCAGTGTTGCCCTCATACTCGCTATGTGATTGCACTTAGTCACGAAATTGACTCCCTGCCTCATGGTATCCAGAGGTGTGGACTTTCACAGCAACATCTCACAGATGTGAAATCAGAAAATACATAGAAGATCTGCCAGAATACACACCGTATCTGCTGTCTGAGTTTTGTTGCCACCCCTTATCAGTCGCGAATTTCAGACCTGTAGCTACAAAGGATGCAAAGCCTCATAAAGTCTTGATATTACATAACAAGAGCAACACTTTGACAACCACTGAATCTTCATGAGATCTCACGAACAGCATCCTGCAATGCTTCTTGACATGTAAGAAAATTGCTCCAGTCCAGCCAGACTGAATCAGGGGAACATTTCCTTCTGATCCCAGATTGGGTGGTTGCTGCCCGTTGAGTTACCTGCTTCTTTGTTAGAAGCTGCTGAAGTGGGTGTGGTATATGTTGGTTCATTCTGACGTAGGCCTATGACAAATCCAGTTCCTGACTTCTGAAAATTATACTGAGTTCGTTTCTCCATAGCCACCACAAGAAGGTCCAAGAGTAGGAGGTGGATGTTGTATTTTTGAAAGTGCATTGGAAGCAGAGTTGCGTAAGTCTTGGTGGTATTTACCTCAGCTGCCCTAGACTGTGCACCAGTTTGTTGTTTAATGAAATCTCATGGTTAAATGCAAACACTCTACTGAGAAACCTGTTTGTGCTCCTGCCAATCCCCCTCAGGCTTGCTGTCATCCGGGATCAAGTGGTTTTTGCTGTTCGACAGGAGTACGTGCTTCTTGGAGATCAGCTTCTGGTCCTGCAGCCCGGAGACGAGGTTGCCATTATCCCACCAATTAGTGGAGGCTGAATCTGCCTAAGTTCTGTTAGGTGGGTATCACTTCTTGCTGCGTTTCCTGTGGAGTGTCATCCTGTGCTAAAATAGTTCATGGATTGTGTATGATGTCCCAATAATCTTTTTTGTTTAGGTCCAGAGATATGATTGCAGTTCTCTCCCTCCACCCTGGTACTCTTTCAAGAGAGTGTAATTTGCGTTTCCTGCTGGAGAGAACCGTTGTGCTGACCAGAAGCTGTAAGCTCGTGCACCAATAAATGATTAACACATATGTAGTAAGTGGAAGAAAATTGCCAGAGAGGTCAGGCATTGTTTTGAATGTGGGTTTTAGGTCTTGTTAATCTTCCGTAGTTGTTTCTGGCTGTCAGTAGATACCCAGCTTGCCTAAATAAGACAATAATGAAGAACCTCCTGCCACTTTTTGACAGAAAAGATGATACAGAAAAAGAATTGACTGCTGCTTAAAAAAAACCCCCAACTTTTGCTGTCAAAGGAACAGGTGTCCTTAGAATAGCTTTATTTCTTTGCATGCTTTCAAGTGCAAGTGCATATATTTACTGCAGCTTTTTCCATTACTGCTGCTCAAAATACTTCTTTTCCTCCTCATTCTTAGGTGAACTGATGACTGGTTTCTACTTGGAGAAATTAGACATGTCTCCTGTGTCACTGAAACAGACTGATAGTATGAGGTCCTGAATGTCCTAGAGAGCGTATTAAACTTTATGATTAGAACTCTAATTCATGTTTATCAGAAATCTCCGTTTTAAACTGTGTTTGATTTCAGGATAAGATAGGGAGGAGGGTCTGACAGTCTTGACACAGGTTTACTAGCACAGTGGTCCATGCTGATTGATTTGATTGTACAGTTAGACTGGGGCCTCAGACTAGTTCTAGTTTTGTCGTACTGGACCAGAGTTTCCTACCAGAAAGGAACCTGTATGCATTAAAAGCCAGGTCACTGCTTGATACTTGCAGTTAATGCTCTCTCAGCAAGTCTGTTGAGAAGTGAATTTGCCATGGAAACTGGTCTTCTGGGGTGAGGAAGTAGATAATGCATGCTTTCTGCAGAAGTTTGGGCATCAGCACTGGATAAGTAGCAGTTTGCCAGTGCTGGTATTGCCAAAACCAACCACAGAGTCTGTTTGGTTTCAGCTTTTCTAGTGAGCTATGGATGAAAGCGAAGATGTGCCAAAAGATTTTATCAAGCTCAAGTCTGAAAAGCTGTCTGTAGATGAAGTGTCAGAGCTGGTCATTTCACCATACTGTGGGGCATTGTCTCTGTTCATTGGTGAGTTTAATATTTCTGAGCTGGATCTCTGGTGTGTTAATGGTCTAATAAATGGAACCTAGATTGTCCACACCCCAAACTCTGTGGGGTGTTTCTCAAATAAATAAATTCCTGGAATGAACCCAGGATGTTTAGAAAACACATTCTGAATTATTTAGAACAAGACCATGGCATCTCTTAAAACAGTTGCACTGGGACAAAGTGGTGAGAAGCTTCCCTGCTGGTGTGGCTATCCTAGGGCTGAACAGAGCAGCAGCTCTGGAGTACAGGACTGCTTCGGAGCTATTCTCCCATCCACTTGGACACAGCTTGTTCAAGGTGGGAAGTGGGATGTTATGGCTATGCAAACCACAGGTCCACACTTGCATGAAAGCTCTTGCAGCTCAGATCTTGGTTGAAAGTAAAAATGTACTAGTTTTCCCATGGGCTGGTGAAAGTCAAGGCTGATAGCTCTGTCCTGTTGCTTAATGTACGTGGTACAGACCTTGAAACCCCTTTGTGCTTAAACCTTAGTGCTACTGGGCACCTGAATAAGGAGCACTTAAACTTTGCATGGGAAAATGCAATAGTAGCAGCTTAGTTACCGTGGAAGATATCCCAGCCTTGGGCATTACAGACTGCAGACTTGTATAATGTGTAAACTAAATTATTCCTTGTATATTAAAGATTGCCCTTGTTCAAAGAATCTGTTTACACAGACATGATTAGGGGAGGTATTCATATTTGTGCAGTGGTGACCTTGACCATAGCAGGAGATCCTGGGTTTTACTCAATACTTATATGTAATACATTATTATATAATAAATACATAATATACAGGATAATAAAATAAATATTAGAAATAGATAATATGTATTTATTAACCCAGTGCTTTTGGTTGATAAATCATTTGTGTTTAGGTACTACAAGAAATAATTTTGAAGGGAAAAAAGTGATTCACTTAGAGTATGAAGCATATACTTCAATGGCAGAGACCGAAATAAAGAAAATCTGCAGAGATGTTAGACAGAAATGGCCATCAGTCAAACATATTGCAGTGCACCACAGACTTGGGTATGTATAGCCAGACCCCATCCTTCTGCAAGTGGAATATTAATCCTTGTCTGGTGCATGGCTGTGCTTACATAGTTGCAGAATGTGCAGGAGTCTTTATAAACTGTAATGCAGCAAAGCTGACTGCAGGATCAAGCTCTTGCTGTGGAGCTAAGTTTCAGAAATCGTCTATTCAAAAACATGTGTGTTGGTAGTGTTTGCTGCAGTCCTGGAGGTTCCTTGAAGGTGCTGGTGGGGAGAACGGATTGAGATTTCATTCCAGGGAAGAGGAGGCTGTTGGTTTGTTTTGCCTTTTTTTAAAGAGGTGAAGCTGGCCGCACTTTCTTTTTTCTTCTCTCTTGCATTGAGATGCTGCAGAATATTCGTACTGTCAGATTTAAGTCAAATTATGCCATAGGTAACCTGAAAGCCTAGACTATGGGGAGGGGAGAGGCATGGCAGTTGCCAGCTGTGCTTGCCAGTGAACCTTCTGTTGTTCCTTGAGTCTTGGTTAAGCATTTTCTGTTGTGTTCAAAATGTGGAATACTAGTGTCTGACATGCTCTTGAGCTTTCGCTGTTCATCAGGTTTCTCACTGAAGCTAGCAGGATTCGCAGAGTCTATTGCAAATGCGTATTTGTTTTTCTGTCAGCAGAAGGACCTTAGGAAGTGATCGCAAAGGGTAGTATTACCTCTGAACAGTAGTTTCCTTAGGTTTCCGCTATAGTCAACAGAGAGAGTGATTCTCTTGAGGGCAGCTCAAAGCATTTAAGCTTAGATTTTTCCTGTGAACTGTTTGCCAGTGGAGTCTTGCTACAGAGGGAGGGATGGGAAGCAACTTTTGGGAATACTACCCTTGTGAGGAGCAAAACAAAACCTTGTGCTACTTCTGCCAAGTTTGGAAAACAACACACCAAACAAAATGTCCTGATTTGAAGACAGAATTTGCCAAAAATTAAGTTTCATTGCAAAATGTGCGTAGTTGCAAGCACTTAATTTCTTCTGTCAGAAATTTTTGTGCAAACTGAGATGATGTCTTAGGTCTTCAGATAAGAAATGGCTGTCCCTAACTTGTTATTGTTCATTATTAAGCCAGTTTCAAGTGAGTTACCTGTGCATTGTTACAAGTTAGCAGTTTTCCTCTCCTAATTCCGTAGACTTTATTTAAAAAAAAGAAGATAGAATGGAAGAAGAAAGCCTATGTCTGGTGGGTTTATTTATTGTAAAGCGTGGAATTCTCACATCTGGTACTGATTTTGGTTGTGGTTTTCTTTCTTTTAAAAAGTGTGTAATCTTTTGGACATGGCTTGACACTTGCTCAGTATGAATGAGTCAGGAGAGCGTGTGGCCAGAACACTGACGTGACATGGCCACAACTTTTGTGTGCTCTTGATGTTAAGCATTAGCTAAAGCTGCTGTTGTTCCTCTTCTCTCCCTAGTGTGGTTCCAATAACTGAAGCAAGTGTAATTATTGCAGTCTCCTCTCCACACAGAGCAGAATCCCTTGAAGCTGTAACGTACTGCATCAATACCTTAAAAGCATCCGTCCCAATATGGAAAAAGGTATGTTTGAGGACAAATTTGATTTTAGGCCTGTGCCAGTCTTCAACAGCTGGTCTAGAGGCTGCTGCTGCTCTTCAGGGAAGGAGCTGAAGCATTACAGGCAGCAGTTGCTCCTGATGGGTTGCCAGTGTCTAGCACCAGTGGGTTTCCTCTAGTGCAGCCAGGCCCATCTGTGGCAGGAGGGGCACCTGGAAGGCCCTCCCTTGCCTGTACCATCCAGCTCCTCTTCCTTTTAATGCCATCCTGGGGTCAAAGTGAAGGAGTCCTGAGGTCTCCTCTTTTGAGTGGCAAAACTCAGTTCTGCACAGGCTTGTGGAATAACTTGGAGTCAGCTTTGCTTTAGACAGCATTGCAGTTTGCAAGTAAAAGTGCCATTTCTTGTCTTTCCATTTCCCCCTCATCCCTGTGGCCTTGAGAAAGCACAAAGCATTAAGCAACAGCACACAATGAAGGGATGAGCAGAGGTCCCAGAGCTAGTATGGGCACACAACAATGTGTGGAGAGACCAGCCCTAGTCTAGAAAGAGCCTTATTGCATAACCACAGTATTGGGTGCAAGCAGTGAACATTACCTCTGCCTTCTCTCCCAGGCTGAGCTTGGCATGTGGTAGCAGTGATGTTCTCCGCATTAACCCCACTTTCCTGACACCTCTTTTGGGAGTCTGGAGTTCTGTGGTCTCAGAAAGAATAATCGGCAGCTCAGAGCCCTGCTGAATTTGCAGCTTAGGACTGAGCAGCAGTCCAGTCTGTCCTGAAGATCTAATACTTACTCTATTTTGTGTATTTTTGTCATATTTTTAATATTGACGTTTTGTATACACTTCAGTACTTTCCTAAAAATGATGGTACGGTAGGTTAACATAGTGACATAGAATCACAGAATGGCAGGGATTGGAAGGGACCTCTGTGGGTCATCTAGTCCAACCCTCCTGCCGAACCAGGCTCACCTACAGCAGGCTGCACAGGCCCTTGTCCAGGGGGGTCTTGAATATCTCCAGAGAAGGAGACTCCACAAGTGGGCAGCCTGTTCCAGTGCTCTGTCACCCTCAGAGAGAAGAAGTTCTTCCTCATCTTCAAACAGAAATTCCTATGCTTCAGTTTGTGCCCATTGCCCCTTGTCCTGTTGCTGGGCACCACTGAAAAGAGTTTGGCCCCATCCTCCTGACACCCACCCTTGAGATAATTATAAGCACTTATAAGGTCCCCTCGCAACCTTCTCTTCTTCAGACTAAACAGTCCCCGCTCCCTCAGCCTCTCCTCATAGGAGAGATGCTCCAGTCCCCTCATCATCCTCGTAGCGCTCCGCTGGACTCTCTCCAGTAGCTCTTCATCTTTCTTGAACTGGGGAGCCCAGAACTGGACAGAGTACTCCAGATGAGGCCTCACTAGGGCAGTGTAGAGGGGAAGGACAGCCTCCCTCGACCTGCTGGCCACACTCCTTTTGATGCACCCCAGGATTCCATTGCCCTTCTTGGCAGCCAGGGCAAACTGCTGGCTCATGGTTAACCTGTTGTCCACGAGGACACCCAGGTCCCTCTCCGCAGAGCTGCTCTCCAGCAGGTCCACCCCAAGCCTGTACTGGTGCATGGGGTTGTTCCTCCCCAGGTGCAGGACCCTGCATTTGCCCTTGTTGAACCTTGTTGAACATGTGAAAAGGGCAGTTTCATATGTGAGTAGTGTGTACTCTACAGCTTTTACATAATTTCCTCTAGATCTCTTTCTTGAATGGACTTCAGTTTAGATGGGCCTTTCTAAATTTAATGAGGCTCAGTCCGAGGTTCAGCATCTGCCCACATGTGTGTCAGTGTGTTCTAAGGGTGCTGCCCTCTTTGCTGTTTGCCAGCCAAGTGCTGTGTAGTCCTGTTGTGATCAGTAAATAATAGCACGATGGCTGTTGTTTGGCCTGGCTTGTGGCTGTATGTTGCAGTCTCCCACAATATTTCCTATTCTTTGTTTATATTTGCAGGAGATTTATGAGGATGAGTATTCTTGGAAAGAAAACAAGGAATGCTTTTGGGCAAATTCTGAAAAATAACTGTACTTTTTTAAAAATAAAGTGTTACTGTTCCTCTGTTCCTAATGAGCATATTGGCTTAGATTTGAGTTGTTTTTACAGAGAATCTATATGTTTTTAAGCAGTTGTAATAGGCATTTCAATCTGAATAATTTAATTATGACTGAATTAAATTAATGAGTATTAATTAGGGTTTTAAAGTGTTCTTGACTCTGCTTTGAAATCATCTCTTTGTACATTTTAACGTGGAGTCAGTTTTTAAAACAGTCTTCCCTAAAATTCTTGCTTGCGAGGTGTTTAGTCCTCTGTGATATATACTGCTTTAGTGCCTTTACAGTGGTAGTCTGTGTTCTCTGGCTGCGTGGGAGGTCACAACAGGACAATTGGATTTTTTTTAAATCTTCAAAAAAGTCCTGAGTAGTTTAATTTTATATGACTGTAGCATAAGTTTGCAAGCTTTATGCTATTTTGACATCTTGTAACATGAAAGCTAGTTGAAGTAGATTAAACATTTTGGTACAGGCAGAGAAGAAAGTATAAACTATACCCCAGAGTTATTAACTTTTTAGTAGTGGTTATGTTCCAGTAGCTCATTCTCACAGAAACATTTTTACTTTGCAGCTGATATTACAAGTCCATGGCATTAAAAATATATGGACAGACCTTGATTCAAGTTAGATCTAATACTCTAGCAGCAACAAACTTGCATTAGCAATAACATGCAAACCTGTAACTACTTAATGATGTGTAGACATGATTAACTTTGAAGAAGCTTTTATGGCTGCGTAATTGTATAGTGCTGCATTACAAAAAAAAAGCCAGCTATTATTACAAATAGACAACTATCAGTTTAATTATAGTAGTTTGACTTTAAACTTGTTGGGATTCAAAGTCAATGAAATGGAGTAGTTTCTCAAAGGAAAGTGAGTCTATTGAACTTTTGCAGTTTATATATGCATTTATATTCACATTTATGATTGTAATAGTTTTTATTTTGTTACTCTTTTCAAACCTAGTTAAAAGAGAAAAGGACTGACATAGTATGCCTGTGCTTCCACTGGAAACAATGGGCTACTCATCTGAGTAAGATCATTTTATTTATGATATTGTACTGTGCCATGATAGTGTTTAGATGCTAAGAGTTCAAAGTCCCATTTTGTATGGCATTCTTACTAATACTGAGGGGCAGTTTTATCTAGTCATCATTATCAATGTAGACAAGGTAGATACAAAGGAAGGGAAATGAGGTAAAGCAAAATGATTTGCACGAATTTATGTATCATTATATCACACAACGCTTAAGCCTCAGCTGTATAATCAATTTCATTGTGTCTGTAGTAAAAATCTATGAACAGCTGCTAGCTGAGAAAAATGGGTGATGATCTTTTTTCCCCCCAGTGATCTCAATCAGTTTTAATACTCGTGATGGCTTCTGTATCTGGATTAAGTAAACCCCAACGAAACATAAAACTTCAGGCAGAAGTATGGTTAAAGTGTGCTTGTTAACTTACTGATGCGCTTTCCTCAGTAGAAGTGAGCGAGTCATTCCTCTGCAGGACACCAGCTGCTTCTTGCATGCTTACACATATGCAGCCTCCAAACCATGTGGGCCCTATTATGTAGGCAGCACTGAGCAAGTTCAGGGTTGAATTTTCCTTCACTCTGGAGGCTGGAGAGAAGCCCTCTGCTATTTGAATGTCATTTTTACTGGGAATTGTACAGAATCGTGAGTACGGATCACTTCCTCTGTCAAATAATTCTTTTTGTTTTTTAGAAATAAATAGAAATACTCAAACTTTTCCATTTTTGGTGTTCATTTCTCCGTGTTTGTGTTTGCTGTTATTACCATGTAGATAATTAGCATATTAATTTCACAAAAATAAATGGCTAGCTTGCCTTGCAGTGGATGGTTTATGAACGAAGTAAAATCCATGAAGTGCTTGATTAGTGGTGCTGTGCTCTGATACAGAAAAATAGTGGTATTTAGAACAGTTAAATGTACTTGGGGCCCTGTGATCAGGGGCAGTTCCTGTGTTGAAGTAGTGCCTCTCCAGTGCTGCAGTCTCCTGGAAGATTTCTCCAGGGTGACCTTAAGTGCACCTTCCCCATCAGCAGTGCAGCTGGGAAGGAGGGTGTAGGAAAGAAGAGAAAGAATAATTGTGTACTTCCCCACAGTGACCAGGAACAATGAATGGAAGAGATGTTGTACTGAGTCACAGCTGAGTGTTACAATGTGTGTACGCTGCCATGGTCAAAACAATGAAATGTCATTTTGTGTCCCTAGCTGTGCATGAGGCAAGTACTGCTTTGTTCTGGAACAATGATGTATCAGTCTTGTGTAACTTTGGGTTCTTCATCTGGCATCTAAAAGCGAAATGGAAATGCCCCTAGGAGGTGTGATGTGCATAATTAAATGTAAAATGTATCTCACTGAAATTTAAGTCCATACTCCGAGCTTGGTGTTCCGGCTCCCTCTGTAGGGCTACCCGCTCTGCTAGGGTAATATTATCATAAGAGGGCAAATTACTGTGTTCTAAGATAGCTGCCTAAGGCTATGTCTGAAGTGACCCAGAAGTGCTTCCAGATTTCCAGGCCAGGGGATGAGCCCCAGCTGTGTCTGACGGCGTGTCTGGGGAGGATGTGGCCGCGCATGTCCTGGCTTCCACACATGCAGGACTAGGCTGCTGGATGAGGGCTACCTTGTGTTCTGGTGAGGTCTGTGAGTGGGATGATAGGCAGCTGCAGATCAATATCCAAGGGAGTCCTAGCTTTCTGGGGCAAGTCCAGCTGTTTCTCTGCCTTGGCTATAGGGGAGGGTAATCCCACCCCTCTGTGCCTCTGCCAGGTGTGTCACAGCGTGCTGCAGAAGTGGTGGCTCCAGGTGCAGACAGATGTTCCTGGGAATAGACGCTGCAGACCAGAGGGTCATCGTCTGATTCCTGCAGAGATCTGCCAGATGTGTGGAAGGGATGCTCATGTCTTCAGAGCAAGAACTTGTTGTTCTGGAAAGATATCTTGGTCCTGGCTGGCAACATTTGAATACACTGATCCATCCCTTTGTCTGGCAGAATGTCCATATACCAGCATTGCTTGATTTTATAAGTTCCCTGATATTGGTCTTTTGTTCTGCTCTGTCCCCAGGAGAAGCTCAGCCCGATGCATACTATGAAAACGGTGACTGATGGATTGCGATGAACTGGGAGGCACAGGCACTTGCTTCGCCTGTCACCCATGAAAGGGCCACGGTCGCACTCGGGAATGAAGCCTTCAGATTGCTCAACCTTAAACTAGATTTTTGGCTAGGCTTTTCTCTCAGCTCACTTTTCCCGTTGCAGGAATGTGTAGTTTTATAGACGTAACACATTCATTTGCTCTATCAAAAACATTAAAAGGAAAAATCTGCTAAAACTAATTATTAACAAAGTGAAATTGTCTGTGAAACCAGACAGTGCTACTTCTTGCCCCCCAAAAAGCTCTGAAAACTTGATCTTGAGCTCTTCTATTAAGTGTCCTGTGGAGGTATGTGGAAGAACGAGAGTTAAGAATAGGCTGATGACTATAAATCAGCAGCTTCTTTGAGTGCCTTAGGCTTGCTTTTTAAAAACAAACCAACCATACAATTTGATGTTGTGAAGTGTTACAAAAATTAACATCCTGATGTATCTTCATAGTAGTTCTGTTTTAAAACTTCCATTTTGACTATTTTAAGAGAAAGAGGCAAATACATTTTACAAACTGCTAGCACACCATAGCCTGTGATTGCATATGAATAATTGATCATAAATGAGGGCAGAAAGGTTGACTTAAAAGATAGGACTCAACTCCTCTCAGGCTTTGAAAACTGATACAAGGACATACTTGGCTCCATTTTAGGTAGTGCTTTTTCAGTAGTATTTCTTCTCTTTAGGGTGCTGTTTAAAAATAAATGAGTCTGTGTTCAGCAGTATTCTTGTTTTTATTGTAGTAACGCTGTTAGGCTCTCAGGTAGGCACCACAGTGATACAGTCCCTGCTCCCTTAGAGCTTACATGCTAGCTTTCAGAAGTCGGTTTGATTACAAACTCTTGTACATCCCCATTCTACACTTAGGCTCATATGAAACTAACTCTGATTTTGGACTTGATTCTAGTACTTCAAGAAGTCAGCAGCTAGATTTCAAGACCAGAATCAGATGTAACTTGAGTTTGCTCAAGGTATTCCTGACTTTTCTTGCTTCAGGCACAAACGGAAGCACATGCTGAAGCTCAACATTTCAGAATATTATTTCACCTGTAACATGCTGTTTTATAAAACTAAAAAAAAAAACCAGCCTCTTGCGCATAGTACAAAATATACATAATATTTCCAGCATTATTTGCGGCTTAAAAGTGCAATAGACTCACCTATTACAAAAACTGAATTAGCTACTTAAGTATTAATTGTAAAAGAAAAAAAACAACCTAGTAACTTGAAGTGGTTAGGATACAAAAACCTTACCCATTGCTATGCCTTCCCCTTATTTTGGGAAAAAGTATTATGTCCAGGCTGGGGGGAAAATCGTGTTGTCTGGGTCAACATACAACCCAGTGAAGACTAGTGAATTGAATCATTGCTACCTGATTGATAAACTGTTAAATCCCCAAAGAAGCTGGATGTCAGATACGGACATGTACCTCCCACCAAAGGTGGAAGAAGGAAATCTGGCTGAATGCCTGAATTTCCCTTGCAAGCAGCACCAGAAATGAGAGATGCTCCCCTCTGCTGCTTTGTGAAATTCCCCCTCTTGCCTGGAGTGCGTGACCCTGGTTATGCAGGAGCTTCCCACACATATGGATGTAGGATTTTGTTTTCTTCCTCACAAGTTTATACAAGAATTGAGGCAGACAAATTTTTATCTTTACTTTCAGAGCATTTTCCCTCAGGGTTTATAATTCCAAGTCAGAGCTTATTCTTTAGCTTTATGCAATTGCCTCTTTTTTTTTTTTTTTTAACTTTTAAAATAACTGTTTTAGTCACAAACTCGGCTGATGGCAACAATCTTGTTTGACAATCTAGATCAGAATCTGGATTGTTTTTTAGGAAAAAAAACCCCACCCCAAAACATAACATTTCATAGATACAAAATAAATCCAAAACACATACAAAACTACACTGAGTACAATCCAGCTGTCACTGCAAATGGAGCTGTTATTTGCCAAAGAGATGGCTGTCTCCTGACTGGTTACTGATTAAAGAAGACTGAGTAAAACTTTCAAACGTGCTCAAGCCTAGTTTTTGAGGAGTCCCTCAGAAATTTATCTGAAAGGTGCCTAAGCATAATTACAATCTAGCTTTGGGGAAAACATGATTTTGGGTTCTGAATCAGGCACATTTAAATGTTTTACTCTTCAAGTAAATCACCTCCAGTTGGAAACAATCTCACTTGCATGGCAGCATACATAAGGACAACACACACGTCTT